TTGCCTTTGTTAAATTTTAACTATTAATAATGTAAACTTTATTTTTAAATTACTTAATTGTTCCAAATTGTTGCAATTATCTAGAATTTCTAATAATAAATCTCTTTTGATTATTTTAAATATATTCTTGATTTTACTTTATTAGTCTATATAGCTATATATAGCTGTGATGCTTTATTTTAACCGAGTACTCTTCTCATGAACCGAGTTATTCGGCCGAGTACGAGTAGTAAAAAAACAGCTGAGCACACCGAGTACCTAGTAGCAAACGAGTATTCGGAGCATCTCTAATTATTATGATTATTGTAGGGAGTTTTATAGATTTCTTTGTACAGGGTCAAGAGCACGTCAAGCTTGACACTTAAGACTTAAATCCAACTCTATCCCGCTTACGATAAGAGCGGTCCAAAGTACAAAGTGTCAAGCGTGATGTGCTCTTGACTGTACTCTTGATTTATTTAGGGGTTTTGATCATTAATGAATATGTCTGCACCATTGTAAAAACAATACATAAAGAAAACACTTAATAGAATCTAAACAGATGAATCAGAATACTAAGTAACCAAACATGTATCCACTTGTTGGCTCAGACAATACAATAGTAAAAAATACGAATTCCAACACTTTAAAAATCAAGCATAAGGAAATTAAATGTTATATTGTTTTAAAAATAAATTTCCGACAGCTGTGTTTGCACTTTGTTGAGATTCGGGGCATTCGTGTCGGATAAACGGCCCTTTCAGAAAAATATCTCTTGTCGGATAGCCAGACAGCGAACATTGTTCTTGAAGGCGTAATAATACCTACAGATAAGGGTATACGAGATCCTCTCTCTCACTTTTACCGACGCCGTTCACAACAGGAATAGCCGAAAACGGACCATTTTGCTGGCTGTTTCACACGATCTACCCTAGATTCCAGGTAACTAGGACAGGGCAAGAATAAATCAACTTGCGTTGCGGCGAGGCCGACACGTAACCACGTCAATGTTTGTAAAAATCCTTGATGGATAATTGTAACAATTATACATATCAGACTACAACTTTAATAAAGCAAAGAGACCAAAAAAGGATGTAGCAGATGAAGTGCAAAAATACGTTATAAGTGTAGGAGCTAGGTCAAAGTATTGAACTCCCACGTTACTGATCGTCACAAGCGTAACCTATGAATGCAAATAGATATTATAAAGTGGATATTTCCTCCCGGCCATTCGGCTGTATACAGTCGCAGTGGGTAGCGAAATAGTCGCGTATGGGATGACGCTGTGATTGTTAAATTTCGAATGTTAACTGATTACCAAGACAGTTTTTTTAGTAAATAGATTCTTATCGTCGGAGGTAGTGCAATTACGCGTAACTAGCATTTGATTATGAGTCTCCATTTTGGTAATTTAGACGCCAAGTCAAATCCGCGTAAACGTCGTGGCAACCAAATTAGCGTGATTTACAGGAATCTATTATTATTAGTCCTTAGACAACATAAATTAATTATTACTGTGCAAAAATGAAAGTCGTAGCCATTGAAATGGCCTACATTTATTTCTCTCGTGAGTTTGGGTGTAATTTGTGTTTGTCTATGATGTGTCCATGGCACACGCGACACAGGGTTTCCCTAGTGCGGGGCTATGTTGAGTGTGTGCGTTATTATTATTATTATTATTTTACCAATACTACATACGCGGATTTACACTATCCCCGACGTTATGTTGACAATCTAGATTTTACTGAGATGGACGTAGATATCAGGAATTACGTTACGTACGGAAGACGTTTAACACGTCATCAACGCATTGTCGTGGAGAGATCTCTTATACTTCCACCACACTAGCTCAATACGGCATCATCATTTTTGTGTGACGTTTACTTTCACCGTTAACACAAATAATAATTAGCAAATTATTATACACATTCAGTAATGCAGGCCTGTAGAAAAATCGAACAATACCTTTTATAAAAATAAAGCATTATTTCCACTAGGCTATAACTACCTTTCATTGCTGAAGAAATTAGAAGAAATTACTAATAAAGAAGTAGTCGCCTGTTACTTTTATGACCTTCATTGTTAAAAGAAATTTTACTGACTGCCTTCTGCGTAACACGGGGCGTTCTGTTATTAGCCTTACTAACTAATAGAATTTATTTTTGTTACATTCTGTGTTGATTGTTAGAAATAAACGTGTGTTTACAGGTATGTGATTTAAATAAAGAATATTGAAACGAATGAACCGCCGCCTTTTCACTCGCATAAAAATCTTTAAGTGGTTATGCGAGGAAAGTGTGACATAGAAAAGAGCTCGCAATACTCGTATCTAAGGCTTCAAACATGATTTACGAATTCGGAACTGGTTTTTCGCAACAAGTGTATAGATGCTACCAAGAGACGGCGAAAGTAGTACAAGATACCTATCAATTATGTGCTTTTAATGTATGTTGAGCGTTTACTTATAATTTACTATTAATATTATTACTGGAACTATAATTTTAACATTATTCAGAAAATTGAATAGGTACGAAAATGAATAATGATTGAGTGAAATATTACATGGATTTAATGTGGATGCAGAACAAGATGAAATAAAAAGAGAAATACAGCAAATCGAGACTCAGTAATGGAATAAGAATACTATTTATCATATACTAAATCTATGCTATTTATAATCTGATAATGGTCAGAAGTATAATTTTAGTTAAATGTTATCATGAAAGAAAAATACACATAATATGCTATAAGTTTTTTTTGGACCAGAGATGCACAGAGCTGGAAAACTTTGGCACGAGGAAAAGGAGGCCTCCTTTACTCAGCAGTGGGTAATATAGGGCTGAAAATGATGATGATGAGTTTTTAAAGTACACACTGTATGCAGTAACTTTGACAGTTTAATTTCTTCATCACAATCTTTTTGGGTGGGGGAACTTCCTAAAGTATAAATCTACATCCGCTTTGTATAGACTGAACACATAAATTAGGACCAAAACAGTTCATTACGTGATAAAAACATTCCAAAGTCAAAGTCAAAGTCAAAGATTATTTTATTCCATAGGTAAAATAAATTTACACTTGAAAACAAATCCAAGAATAAGTAGTTATCAGGATAAGAGCTTTCTCAGATTATGGACTTTTATTGTATTCTAGCCCCAGCAGTTTCATACAGTGTAAACATCTACTATATTACATGTAACATAATGTTGTTATAGACTTTTCTTTTTTCAAATTTGAACGAAATTTTAAATATTTTAAAGGCCATTTCCCTACAGTTGACTTTTTGTTTCATTTTTACTTGTATACAATGCACTGTATGATGCAACATGTATAATGTAGCAAAATTATATGTTAATGTTAGAAAACAATGTATTCATTTACCACTCAACATTGTCACTAAATTACTTATTCTTTTAGTGCTTAGAATACTCCGAAGAAATGTACTTCTTCTACCTGCAATTTTCCATCAACTATTTGTTATATAAATCTCAAGCCAAGCATTTCAGAATTGGTGTTTTCTTATGCATTACTTCTAATCTTCACTACCTCCTTTAATTGTAGCATTCATTTATATCCAGTCAGACAAATCAAAGATTTCAAGTGTATATTGCTGACTGAAGATCTTGCCAAAATATTAGCAAAACTATGACCTCTTGTAATAGGAGAAAAAGAGTAACACATACAAAATACCCGCAAGTAGATAAGCAGGTACAAGCCTGATACATACCTACACCATGATTACAAGTCAGATTTATTTACTTTTTTTCACACAAACACACCAATTGCCTGGTCTCAAAGTAGGGAATTTGCTGTACTATGAGTACCAGAGCAACGGAATTCTGGGGCACTTCCCAGAACACTCAGACCAGTACCCGTTTACAAAAGTTCATTTCCCAAGTCGGTCATACTGGGAATCGAACCCGGGACCTCCGCATCCAGAATCCACAATTTAAACCGTTAGACCACTGAGGTCGCTAAATATATAATATGAATATTCGATAAGGAAAAATTGTATATTGTTATGTACATTTGATTATATTTTAATTACACAATGTATGTGGTCATAGTTGTATAATTATATAAAGAAATATATAAGGACAATTATAATAACTGAACTCTCTGACCCTTATATTTATTGAACCAGTAGCAATAATTTAGATTAGGCAGACGAGATTTAATTTTAATTTTCCGTGCTATGAGTAACAAAATTGACATCATCACTGATGAACCAGAACCAATTCAGAATAGTGTTCAGTTCAGTAATCAAATCCTTCTTCAAGCTTCATCAAGTGCCCGTAATGCTACGTGTTGGGCCATAGAACTAGTCAAACTATCAGCGATTTTTAAATCTCAAAATGGCATACATGGTATTTTTATCAATTTATCATATAAAGAAAACACAGGCAAAGGTTTGTATGGAAGTACATCTTTAATGCATGAAACTAATTTTGTTTAGTAAAAAACACTATATTAAAAGAAGATCATTGCTAGGCTTTGTCGATAAGTATTAAAATACGAAAATTGTGATCTACTATTGTAGATCCTCAGAAATTTCTAACCTATTAAAATCTCTAATGCTCCAGTTTAGAAAGAACTAGTCAATACACCAATTTCTGATACCACTTTGTAAATCGTTCAGAAAAAAACCTGTACAGGAAATGAAACTATAAGAACTTGATAAGAACTCAATACACAATTTATTCATGAATTACAGCATTTTCTTTCCATAACAATTACGGACAGATGGGGATTTATTTATTATTATTACACTTCTCAGTAGCCACAATGAGTAGGTGTGTGTTGATGACTTCAACCTTCTTAAATAATGGTTTGTATTTTACTTTTTCTGTATTACTAATTTTTTTTGTATGTTCTGCTACATAGCCAGTCATACTTTGGTGTGAATTGAGAAACATGATGGAGAAAGCATACCGTCGTTATTATCGAATACGGATATACCAAGTGGCTTTTTGTGTAGAGGTCTTACGAAAACGAAATTATTGACATCGCCAGGCACTTACCACTTTCGATGTACGGCAAGGCGAGCAGCAGAAAGGCAATATATCCAATTTCACTAAACATTGTCGCTTCCAAAAACACACTTCTAATATCACGAAGTCATTGCACATCCAGCTGATTTTCACATCACACAAAACCTTTGTCTGTTTTTGACAGAATCGCATGCGCGCGTTCACTAAATATTTTTTATTTACATTACATTAAATCCTAATCTCGGCACACTGTACACAACTAATTAAACACTAACAATGCCATTTACAAAGTAGTCGAAACTTGTGTTGGAAACAATAAATAACAACAAAATTGTTTCCGTCATAAGGGCGGACCAATCTAAGTCCTGTACGGCAACATAAATCATAACACAAACAACCAACAATTCCACATAATCACATTATTGTCCAACGTATTGTTTGTTTAACAACGTCCTATCCATATCCTAATTACTAATTAAAAACTAATTTTTCGACAACTTTACACTCGACCGTCTGACATATTGGAAACATTGGAAATTATGGATTTGGGGTATGATCGGATACACACAGCTCAGCCAAGGACAGACCATTAAATAATGACTCGCGAAATGAGCGTTTATGATTCAAACTGTCAAGAGATGAATTATTGCGAATTTATAATTCATTTATTAATTCGCACGTTAAATCAAATACGTACTGTGGCATTATAATTGTAAGTCAATGTGTGGCATTGAGAAAACACAATTTGATAATTTAAAAAAAATACGAATAGACCTTATTGCGAATAATTTGATTATTTTTATTTAGACAGATAATACTTAATAGTGCATATTTTTATACGAGAATATGTTTAAATTGATATAGTTCTTTTTTTAATTTTCAAATCGTGTTTACTCTATTCCACAATTTTGTGTTTTGACAATATTTTGTTTCGTATGCAAATTTTCTTAATAATACAGCCATAAATAATTAGTTTGTTAGCCATAAATAATTGTATTTTCTTCTATTATATATTCTATTTTCATTTATATATTTATTCGCGATATCCCTTGTAATCTTATGTTAATAAAGTGCATTATTATTTTTACTATAAATCAATTATATAATTTAAAATCATTGATCTAAATAAAAATATTTTATGAGCACGTCACCAAACTGCCAAATTTTCTTGAGGTTAGAGCACAGAGTAGTTTGTGATTAGAGGAGCAAATATCACATCCTTTTAAAAACAGCTAAGTACATACTTAAACAATAAGGGTCCGACCCTTAGGGTCGAATTCTAGAATTCTACTCAATGCTCAAGGCAGGATTTGAGTATGATTGCTTTAAACCATACTCAAATCCTGACTTGAGCATTGAGTAGAATTTCTAGTGCTTTGAATTATACTCAAGTCAGGATTTGAATGTGGTTTAAAGCACTCGAAATTATACTCTAGTCCCTGCCATTAGGGTCGTATTTCCAGTGCTTGTGTTGCCAGTGCAACACAAGCACTGGAAATACGACCATGCAGATGCAGTACGACTCGAGTCAGGACTTGAGTACTGCAGTGAGCACTGAAAGTCATACTCAAGTGCTTGCCGTTAGGGTAGTATTTCCAGTGCTTGAAATCAAACTCAAGTCTGCTCAAATACTGACTTTAGCATTGAGTACAGTTCTGGAATACGACCCTAAGTCTTTCAGCATTCTCACCGGCTACTTTAAAATATTTTTATTTTTGAAAGATTGCCTTTCATACACCGGAAAGTGATGTTTTGTAATATTTTAACATTAAGATGAATATTATTAATCGCTATCTCAAAAAATATGTGCACTAATTTTATTTTATTTCTTACAACACAGGAACAAAAATCTTACTTCACGTGTTGAATAGAAAATATTTGTGATTTGAGTTACGTTAGTAAAAAAGACTCTTACATTTCTCATCTGAAAGATTTGATCAAACTATGCAGTATACATTTCATTTTCAGTACATTTCAATAAATCAAAATATTATGAAAATAATTAAATTCGGTGACCAACATTTAATTAATTTGGATAATATAAAGTAATAAATACTATTGTCGCGCCGTCGCGTCGGCGCCGCGTTGTTGTCGTCGTTGCTGTGAGGAAGAAAATATTATTGATGGTAAACCATAACAATTTTTTCATTTATTTACAAGGCACCAATAAAGTATGTACATCATAAATATATTACATTGTAGCGAAATACAAGTCTAATTAATAAGTAATTTACATTTCACTTTAAACAAATTAAACTAAGAATTCATCCACTGGCAATTTTGTTATCATCTATTAAGGCGAAGACACTTTTATCATGTAATCTTTTTGTTCAGTGTCACTAGCACTATTTAATTTAATCATACACTAATTCATATGATTTTGTCCGTTTTAATAGTTTACATAAAAGTAATTTTAACTTTTTTTATTGAAAAATAGTTTTTCAGGAAATAACAGATTCAATTATTTGGGCAGATTACAATCACTAAGTATGTACATACTTTAGGGTTTACCAAGTTATCAGCAGTACAGCGGGTTCACAGCACGAGATCGAATGCTGCCATGCCGTTACAAAATATCATGTATCCGAACACCGTCGACGGTTTGTTGGTTCATTCATACAGGCACAAAAAACTTTTAGATGGTGTAGGTTCATTCACTTATTCATCAACCCGCTAAAATTTAAACTGAGAAGTCATAAAGATAAAAACAGGTGGGAGAATAGTGCAAAAGTACAACTTTTGTACTATTCTTCCATCGAACTCGATTAAATTACTAAATAAGTAACATTATAATAATCCCATACCTACATCTTTTTCTTCTATAAATAGCATTCTGGCCAAAACCCCATAAACAAAAACGGAGGAAGATAAATAAATGAAATAATAATAATAATTGTTATGCGTTATACATCATGTAACTGTGATTGTAATAAATCTTTTTTAAATGAAATTTAAAAGTAATTAAAAATTAATTTTAAAATATTAACTTATATTGCATGTAATTTATTTGATATCCAATTCCAAATACCAATTATGTATGTACCTATATTACAAAAATAACAGTTCCGGTTTGTAACATTAGTCTTATAGATAGCAACTGGAAAAATTGCGGGAGCTTTTCCGCAGCATCTGGCAATCTTACACGCACACAAATGCGCATGGCCACTACAGTGCCCTTCCTATCACACATCACATCGCCAAAGAGAATTTAAGCACTACGTTTACACATCGCTTGTTGTCTATGCGCCATCTGCCTATAGTTTTGTGATGTTCATACCTTATCCACATATGATCCACATATGAAAAAATAAAAATAGTGACAGATTGCCTTTAGATAAATATTCGAAATAATACTATAATAATAGAGTTCCTTTTTTAATTAGTCAACATTGTCCAATTTTTCCTTGTTAAATCTTTCACTTATCCCTAGAAAAAGAAATCAAACAGTTTTGGAGACCTCGCCGGCCACCTAGTCGGTCCACATGTACCGACTCAGGAAGGAAAAAAAGGAAAAAATTATCAATCATCAAGAGTCCGGCTCTTTCCCGACTGTCATTGAGGCGTGCATGTATTATAATGCATTTTCTAAAATATTAATGTAAAATTTCGCGGTGTTCTTTTAATGTAATATACTATATTACTTAAAAGGAATTAATCATTATTCGGTTGGCATACAAGATTTTTTTAAATATTTGGTTGGTTCGGTTTCCAGATGAGACAAGCAACTTTAAAAAATCTTTGAATGCAGCAAGTTAGTAACTTTTAAGAAGTCTAAAAATTGTTTAAAAATCAAAATTCCGACTGCATAAATATTTACCTAGCCATTACTACTAAAAAACAATTGTTAGCTGGAAAGATAAAAAAAAACTAATCCCCAATCAAAATAGTGTGATTTTTTTATAGCCTATGACACTCCCACAATCCAGACGAATCTTTAAGACGGGACGAACACGGACGGACGGCTCGTGCGCCTGATGGTACGCCACACGCCTGTCCATAACATAACTTGCAGTGCCACTCAGAGCTCTAAATGGCTTAGATCTGAGGCGCACTGTCACTGCGCCTGTCAGCTTGAGACATAAGTTGACAAGTCCCATGTGCCTGTAATTTCACCAGCACCCTTACCCTTCAAAAGCGGAACACAGTAATTAACACATTACTATTTGGCGGCAGAGATAGATAAGGTGGCAGTACTTCCCTGGACGAACTCGTGACAAGGAGCTCTACTGCTACTAAACTATTTGACGACACCTCATATGTAAAAATCCATCAATTTGTTTAGGCTGTACAGGGAAACAGAAATGAACATACATACACTTGAAAAACATAACCCTCCCGCAATCGGGTAAAAATATAATTATATTCCGATCCATGTTACATAGCAGTGGAACACCTTAATTAGGTAATATATATTGATAGAGATACGGACGGCAGCATATCAAGCTACACATTGATGAATCTTGTTCCGTTGCAATCGAGGTGGTATTCGAACAAAAATGTATAACTTGAACTAAAGTGTTAACTGTACGGACAAAAGCAATCAAATGAAAAAGGCAAAAGCAAATAAAAAATAATGTATGAATGAAATATTCTTTATTGTACATTAAAAATTACAATGACAAAACAGAACAGTAATGTAAGTATCACAGTGTAAGATAAAGTACAACGGGCGGCCTTATTGCTAAGTAGCAATTTCTTCCAGGCAAGGATACAAATTTAACAGTTGGAATGAAATAATTATAATATATTGTAATATGAAGTAAGTATAAAAAATAATCTTGTTCAGAATGGTAAATGTTCTAATTTTGGTGGAAAAGTTAGCAAGCCTCTAGTTTCGATTCTGTATGTATGGTAAGTATGTAGAGAATTAAAAAACGATGTTTTTTTCTATAAAACAATGATTTATTCATATGAATTAGCATATTAACAATAGATCTCTATATTATAATTTCACGTTGGTATAAAAGCCTTTATATAATAAAGTAGTTAAAAATATTTGAGCAACCAACTAGTGACACTAGTTAGTTTCACTAAGAATTAGGGTTTAGTAATGAATCAAGTCTGTTATTCATGTTAACAGATTTAGTACCTTAATTATATTACGTATTGGACGAAATTGCTACTTAGTAACAACGCTGTCTATAGTGCGCTCTGTCACACAGCAAGGTATACAATTCTTAAAACTACTTTGAACGTTATGTATACGTCGCGAGGTAAAAACATAGTTAGGAAGAATAGTTGTGGCCCACCGTAATACAGTAAAAATATAGCACTAGATCGACTTTTATCATCATCACAATCAACAATCCATAAAAATCTCACTGCTGGGCACGGATGCCTTTTAACGTTTCACGTTATTTACGAAAAAAATACGAAGTCGGCGCACGGCACCGCCATCACGGTACACAATAGATTAGGCTCATTTGACTATTTTTAGACCAGGAAAACTTTGATTAGAATTAATCACAAGAGAAATGACCCTATTCTAACAGTATAATAAATTTTGTATTTTTTTATTAGTTACCTATCTACGCTTTGTACAGTCAGGGAAATAAATTGTTGATCAAATCAACTAAATCGATATTTTGATGACTGCCACCATTAATTTCGCTTGCAATATTTGAGAAGCCACGGCGTACGAGGAGTCACTGGCCAGTCTGGGCGTTATTTGAATTACTTGTAAATTGTTTATTTGTAAACTGAAATACGAATTTTTATATTTAAATTACTATCTAAAATTTTTGCCCAGCCCTGACCATATTTATTCATTAATAATAAATACGCAGAAATTATATTCAGAAATAAAAACCATAAAAATTTTGTCATCACAGCAGAAAGAGCGCTGACTCAGCATATGTCTAAGTTATATATAGATTAAAAGCATTAGAAATTTCTAATTTGTAAACTGAAAAAACCTAATAAGAATTCTTAGTTTTCGCGACTGTTACATATAGGAAACGAAACTATTTTTTCGGATCAAAATCTCGTATATTTGCTTTTTCAAACAAACTAACGTTTCGGGCTATTTATTTATTTTATTTAAACACTTTATTGTACCACAAAGTAACTTACAAATTTTCAGAAACAATTTAAATATTTGTGTACAAAGGCGAGCTTATCACATAAAGAGATTTCTTCCAACTAACCTTTGAAAAATCTGAGAGGAAAGTTGGTTTTTGGGGTGGCACTAAAAACAGATAAGTAAAGATATGGAATATACTATACTCAATAAATATACAGATAAATTTAATAAATCAAATGTACATACGAATACATATATATTAAGTAATGTTGATACATTAATACATACAAAGTCTATAATAAAACTATAAATAAATATATCAAATGTAAATAAATATTTCAAAAGCTCTAACATGTGGAGTCTGAACAATCCCAAATCGGCTATGGTCAGATAGCCGTGACCATGGGACCTGTAAAGGGACCGAAACGTTGGTCTGTTTAAAAAAAAATCGTCGGCTAAATTTGAAAACCTCGTAAGGGCGCGTTCTCATCATGTTGTAACGTTTTTTTGATCGTTAAACGACTGTCGCGTCTATCCCGTTCCCATATCACGACAATTTTTTTATTTTTTTAAATAGAGATAGCTATAGAGAGGTCAAAGAACTGACTATGAACCGTGAGGAGTGGAGGAGACTACACCGAAGAGAGAAGAGTCTGGTTCTTAAATAAGATTATGATTTTTTAAAAGCGCACTCATAGCTCCGCAATAGGGAAACCCTGTGTCGCGGTTGTCATGGACACACACATAGACAACCACAAATTACACTCAAAACTCACGAGAGAAATAAATACAGGCCATACAAATATTTTTCGCGGCCTGGGAATCGAACGCAGTCCAGCATGGTAACCGTTCACTGGAGGCAGTTAACTATCTGTCACGGACGTTTATTTTTTTTACTCTTCACGTGTAATATCGGACAATTAAAGCTTAAAATATAATTTGTACACCTTCTTTTAGTTATAAAGGTAAAATCATAGATTGTTATATAATTAATTCTAGTAATTCTATTTTTGTGCACATTCAAAAGGACTCGTTAAACGAGGTTTTTGAATTTAGTCGACGAAATATACCTAAAACGCGATTTATGTAAAAAAAATAGTTATACCTTGCTTTTTGACATCTGAAAAGGACTGGTTCTAATCCGTGTCTAGCGCTGAACCCCGTGCTAGCAATAATTTGATCAATGACTGCCTCATGGCATGGTCTGCATGGCATGCTGGGCTGCCATGCAGACGTCTCGGGTTCGATTCTCGGGCCGGGAGAAATATTTGTATTGTATGTATTGTATTGTATTATTTCTGTCCATGGCACCCGCGATACAGGGTCTTCCTAGTGCGGTGCATTATTTATTTTTATTACTGAGCTATCGCAGATTCGGAGTGACCGTTCCTTTTAGAGAGGTTTGTAAAAAAATACGACAATGTCAACAACAAATTTCTCTGACTATCCAAGGAAGATTAATTTTCAATTATCTTACATTAATTTGTACTACATTTATTTTGGTACTGGGGGATTACTTCTGCTAATTTATTGGGTGCGAACACTCCCTTTTCAGTAATGATTCCCGTAATCAAACTCGCTGGAGTGACGTCGAATGATGGGTTCCAGCAGTTAATACCTGAAATTGTTAATAACTTTTATACACTTAGTAAATTATTGTTAACTAAGGGTCGAAACACAAAACTGCGAAGCGAATGGCTGCGATGCGATTTAGTGCGGCATGGCATATCACTGCCATGGTTTGGGTAACCATTCCTTCGACGATCATCAACCGTACTGAATGTATTTTTCAAAATAGGTAGCGACATGGATTCACATGAACAATTCGCAAATTCTTGCGATGCGTCATGCGGCTGCGGGCTCGTAGATTTCTGCTTAGTGCAGTTTTGTGCTTCGACCCTAAAGTTACGCAACACAGCGAGGGTTCAAATGTAACGTACTCAAACATTCTTCCGGTGAATGTTACTAGTAAAATACTCAAAATTTGGATGGTTTAGGGGTAATTTAAAAATAATGAAATATATATACCGGGTGGAACAGAACGACCGACAAAGCCGAAAACCGTGAAGAGTCTTAAATATGTACTTAACTGTACTGAAAGTCTTTTTGCTTTAAGTGTAATAGTTTCCAAGTTATTCAATGATAAAGATTTGCTTGAAAAGTCTGTATTGTCAACCCTACATCATAAAACACAGCTGTTTGGAGGCAACTACCGGGAGGTACTCAGGGCAAAAAACTTTGAAATTTAATAGGTCGCTGACCTCCGTCGTTGATCAGCACCCCATCAGTCGCTTTCTTTGATCAATCACTTTGTTTGATCAGTCATCAAGTGAATCATGATTAATTATTCGGGTATTTTATTGTATTATTTTGAGAGTAATTAACACCCCTAAATTCCGTGTTTGACGACCCAATATTTACATTTACCGAAAAAATGCACCTCTCATAGAATCTTCGGGAGACATGTTGTTTCTAAATTATGCATTGTTATAAACTACCTACAACAACTTAAGAAAAGTAAAGTTTTCTAAATGATTCTGACAGGAGTTCAACCATGTTTTCTGCGTCATAAGATAAGACTAACTTAAATAAACATAACTAAATTAAGTAAACACGTTCTACAACATGCGTCAAATACTCAAATTACAATAGTCTCGTAACCCTTAATCCGACCCTGACGTAAAATAGTAAATTGAGGCAGCCAATCACGTCGCTTATAACCTTAGAGATTTAGAGATACCTGTTATCTGTTTTTGGCAGCATAATTGGGAGATCGTTTTTTTTGTACTAGTCTATTTTTCAATGCATTTGGAAATAGTTTTAATTTACAATACAAGAATTTACTAACTTTAAAACGAAGAGTTCATTTTAATGAGATCAACATTTAAAACGAAAATTTCTGTTAACTTGAGATGAGTAGTTGAAATTTTAATAAATGTAATGTGAAAATAAATAAATCGGTGCTTGAAGGTCTACAGACCACCTCCACGGTTCGTTTTCTTATTTTTGAGTATCGATTATCACATTGTTAAATTTGATTATTTATTACAATTCATTAAACGACCTGCAGTTACCTTACTTTTACTTTTGAATTGCTCATGGTACTTATACCAGACAAGACGATTATTGCGAAACCTATTTCTTTATCATAATTGTCTTTTTAAAATTAACATTTAGATATTAGTTATCAATGATATCCGATGCGTACGCCGCCGCCGCCGCGCGCATCTCTATGCAGAGTTGCCAAGTAAGCAACTTTGTCCCTTTATGTGACGATGTGACATCAAAAGCGTCTTTTATTTCTAGCGACAAAAAAAGATTTGGTATTTATTGGTGCGTATTTAATTAGGTTTAATCGTTTAAAATTTAATATTATTTTTATCTTAGTATTCAGGAGTCTTTTGCTTGTACTGTGACCATTCTGTTTAGTGATATTTGCTTTAGTCTAATTGGTAACACTTTTTCATTCATAAATTAGTTCAAAATGACTGGTTGTTTGGTAACTCGTGGTCTCATGTTTTTCTCGTGTTTACAACACAAAACAACGTTTACTTATTAATTTTTGGGTTGTGACAGCAACTTATTGGAATAGTGCTGTTTATAAGTAGTGTTTGTGTTAAGCAAGTAAAGTGTATTAGTGTGTTTGTGTGGAAAACCACATCGGCGTGTGACCGGCACACCCAGGAATGTGTCTGAAATGTCTGAATGTCTGCAAGAGTAAAGGGGACGTGGACAAATCGAACATCCTTTTAATTTAAAGTAAGTTCAATGTTTTTTAATTACCTATTCAAGTGAGTACACTTATTTCTTTTGCGAGTGCCAATGACACGAACGCCGCCTGTGGGGCAGTAGATGTACTAACACGATTGATTCGCGTAGGGTTGTTGCACCGCGAAAGGTTTAAATCTGGACGAACATTTTCCAACTGCTCTGATTTTCATTTAAAGTAAATAAAACTCATGTATGTAGGGTTCTTAACGTGATATTTTCGGCTTTGTCGGTCGTTCCGTTCCACCGTGTATATATATATATATATATATAATATAAAATAATAAATAATATATAATATAAAATAATATATAATATAAATAATTAGTTGACTGGCAGGCTGTACATCTGGCGCATCTTGGACAACAACAGGGTAGTACCTTATACCAATTGGCAAATCCTTTCACCATGATGGCAAGATTCATAATAATTATTAATATAGTTATTGACACGACAAGTTGACCGATTTTTTTTTCATTAATGTATTTCGATACCTCCACGTAATTTGTTGTAAGTAAAAATACCATTTTTTGCTTTTTAATTTAAATATATCCTTTTTATGTACATTGTAGGTTTTATGTTTGAAAGTAAATACAACACTAAGTGATTTCTTTACTTTTAAATATGGAACCTGTTCATTATACACATAAATAATCTCAGTACAGAGTACTAAAAAAACCGACCTCAAAAGTACGTGGAATTACATATAATTACCATGTTTTATTGAAATCGGTTACCGGGTAGTGCGCAAACCCGGATTCATCCCCTAGTTCACCACTAAAATATTATAAAAATCGGTTCTCACTTCTCAAAGTATATCGAGAGAGAAAAACGCCTTGAATTGGAGAGTAGCAAAATCAACCATTAAAATAATTGCTGCTTATAATAAAATTTAGGAGCGGATCGAAGTTAATTTTGTCGAAAGCCAAAGCAACGAAATTAACCACACAGAAAACATATCAGAACTAGGAGTAACCGTGTAACATGCACAAAAAAAATACAGACGAATTGAGACCCTCCTCCTTTTTTTAAAAGTCGGTTAAAAAGAAAGAGAAACACCGTCAATCGTCGAAGTGTGTTTTGACCCTAAGTTACCGGACATTTACCTGGAGCAGCAATTCGATGTTCCCCTATGTGCGTCATCTCTCTGTCTGGTCTCTCCTCAATCTTTATCTTCTCTCCCGAAGTAAGGGACATGTCTATCGAAGTAAGAGGCGCAGCTACGTAGAAAGGCACTTCATGGTATTTTGCAACAATGGCTATCTGATACGTTCCAATCTTGTTGGCCGTGTCGCCGTTTGCTGCTACCTGGAATTTAACAGGATTAATTAGTCAGGCATTTACATTAACGTGAGTTGTAATTATAAAAACGTGTGTAGTGATTTATTTTATCACTGAGCCCATAACCTAAAACGGTCTAGAAAATTTGGAGTTGCAGACAATTTTTTGGCACTTTTTCGAGATTCGAGACCGGTTTTTAGTCACGCGAACATCGAGACATTTGAGGCAAACAGTATTAAAAAATGTACTACAGTCATTTTTTATTGTAGTTACATAGACATAGCAAAACAATCATAACAAAATCTTTTTATCTGGAACCGTGTTAAACGCCCTTTGTTTCTTACGTACCCACTATAAAAATGAAAAAGTGACTTTTGTGTTTTTTAAAGAACTTAATAATCATTGACTGCCGTAAATGTCTAGCCTATAAGCCATTCGTCTTGTAGTGTATTATTTACGCAAAATCTCCAAGTACCGATTTTTATTATATTCTTACATGTTTACTAATAAATAAATACCGAATACCAAACTCCACGATAGAACGGTAATTTTAGGGAAAATTTAATTTAATTAATTCATGCAAAATTTTCAATTCACCTTGCACATTTAGTATTAATCAATAATATCATATCACCCTTAGAGGTGAAATATTTTCTCCAAATTTAAATGGGACCACTACAGAGATTAACTGCCTCGGTGGCCGAACGGTTACCATGCCGGACTGCCACGCAGAGGTCCCAGGTTCGATTCCCGGGCCGGGAGAAATGTTTGTATGGCTTACATTTATTTCTCTCGTGAGTTTGGGTGTAATTTGTGGTTGTCTATGTGTGTGTCCATGGCACCCGCGACACAGGGTTTCCCTAGTGCGGGGCTATGTTGAATGTGTGCGTTTTCTAACAAAAAAAATCATCAAAATCCGTTCATAAATGCCGATGAATGACTTATCAAAAATGACTTATCGCGTAACATACATACAAAAAAAACACTGTCGAAATGAGAACCTCCTTCTTTTTTTGAAATCGGTTATAAACTTACGACCCTTTACAAAAAGCTGTCATACCCTATCGGCACCAACGACGACGGCAGTAATTTTCCTAGTCCGCATAAGGGCAGATACCATGCTATCAACTATAAGGGTAGCTGGAATCTTCTCGTGAACAAGTTCGTACGCTGTCAGTCGGGCACCTTGGTTATATGGACGGGTCTCTGTGCAGTATACGTGCTCTGGAAAAAAGTTATTGTATCTTATAGAAATTGTTGTGTAGTACCACAACACGTGAACGTTGACACTGTGAGAAACAACCTTGATATAAAGTATTAAGATGTTCTTTTGAATTGCACGCATTGGGTTAATATATATTTTTTTAATAATACTAAGTGACGTGACGAACAAGTCGCGCGCCTCATTGTAATCTGCACGCCTGTCCATAACAGTTGCAGTGCCACTCAGAGGTCTAAATGGCTTAGATCTGAGGCGCACTGTCACTGCGCCTGTCAGCTTGAGACATAAGTTGACAAGTCCCGTGTGCCTGTAATTTCACCAGCACCCTTACCCTTCATTACTGCTTGGCAACAGAAATAGGTAAGGTGGCAGTACTACCCTGGACGAATTCTTTCACAAGGAGCTCTAATGGTGCCAAAATTATATGTAAAAGTATATAGTATAACATAAAAAGCTTCATTCGCATCGTGCGTCTTTTAATAAATGGTCGAGTATTACTTCTTTGACAGTAATTGTTTCGGACAGATGTCGGACGGAGAAAGGGAGTACAGCAGCTTGATTTTGATTGCCTCTCCCGATCGGAAACTGCGTCTCTTTCGAGTCGAGGCGCATAATTGCGATTCACAACATTTTGACATTTCAATCGTAACAATAGTTAATTTAACTCACAAATTAGAAAGATATCGCTCGGAAAACCATCCGATTTCGAGACTCGAATGGGCTACCCGATCGGTTCAATTCCACAAATCAAAATCAGTCTGCTGGTTTCAATGTGGCAGGGTGCATAATTCGAATATGACAAAAATTCCCGGGTCCGGAACGCTACCGCCTCTGTGTGGCCAGAGCAGTAGTAAGCGTATCAGAGCAATGACATTAACTACGGGGCATTACGTAGTAACTATTAAGTAATTTATGGCATTACCCAGAATTCTTATTTTATTAGTAATTTGGAGATCGTTACTTTTCCAAAATTGGCCGCATTCTGAACATCACAGCACTAAATAGAGTAGACTAAATAGCTATTACCAAGTCTTTTGCTCTCATGAAGGGCTCTTGTCACGCCGAGTGCAGTACCATAGCCGGCTGTGGCCAAAGACCCGGTGTTGCAATGCGTCAAGATCCGCACTAGGCCGTCGCCTTCCAATCTCTTTAGAATAACTTCACAACCATGTCTGCCTATCGCCTTATTGTCTTCTATATCTTTGGTCAACATATTCTCTATGTTGCTGATGAATCTGTTGGAATGTGTAATTACAAATTAGGCTTTTGATAATACACGTACGGTTGACAGATTTACTTACAATACATTAGATAAATAATTCTTACAAATTTAAAAAGAAAAATATTGCAGAATTCGTTTATTTGAAATACTTTTGTAGAACACTTTATTTTATTTTTTATTATTATAGATACAAAGATAGAAAAAACACAAAGAAAAAATCCTTCGATCCGTCTGGACTTGAACCAGCGACTATTTTCCAAACTGGGGCTACCATTCTCCCACCGGAGCTAGGGAACAAGTCAGCAGACTTTACGAATTACCCTATATTCTTGTTGCAGATCTTTGATTTTTTTTATTTAGGCAACCAACAAGTTAAAACATTTAATAAAAAATTTAGATTACACAACTGCTGGTTGCCACAACGTGCACCAGTCAAACACAGCTCTAGTCATTTATGTATACTTGAGCATAGAAAGTATTATGTTAATTCGAGTGAGACGTTAAAAACACGCGTATTTATTATTTTTATTACGTATATAACGAGATATTAAAACAAGACATGATGTTGCCATATCCATAATCAGAGGTCGAATGATACACATAGAGTGTGTGCAATACCTCCCCCTGAAGTGTGGGAAAGGTAAAAAATGAAAACAATAGTTAGGATTACAATACTTTTTTCAAAGTACAATAACATAGAAAAGTAATTAGTTAGTTACACATAAAAATATAGAACAGTACATAGTACAATTTAGTTATAATTCTTTCTACCTATTGTTTTATATTTCCGTTGACAGTTAGTGACTTTTTCATTTCTATATTTTTGTATTTATTGTTATACGGCCGTCGCTACCATATACATATGTATAATAAACAGTTGCGTTAAGGTTAGACATACCCAACCGACAGCCTCCGTAATGCCTCGGCAGCCATCGGGATGCTTCGGTAAACTTTTACATTTAACGCATTGAGTATATAACCAGAAATAGAGAGGAAATGTTATTTAATTTGTTTGAAAACTATTCTGTCAAATCATTACTGTGACAACTGCGCTCCGATTGGTCAGCCTGTATTCGAAACAATTGACGGGTGTTGTCAACTGTTTCACTTCAAATCGACCAGTTTAACTTGAGCTTTGCTATAATGGATGAAAATAGCAAAATTACATACAGTGGTGGACACATAATTAAAGACACTTAGAGAATATTATTTTTTCAAAGTTTACTTATCCTATATTTTTTTATTATAATGCAATAGGAGCTTGCAATATTATTTAAATTATTCTAACGGGTATCGTGAAATGTTTGAAATGAAATAAAGAGAACGAAGATGTCGTATTTTAATTTTTTTTTAAGTTTCTTTAATTACACCGTTATAAACTAATACAAAAGCTTGGCCAACTAATTAAAGACACACAAATCATGTAACTGCAAAAAAAATATTACAAATGTTAAAACGAATTTGAGTATAAAATTAGTTTCAGATGTATAATAAGAAAATAAAAGCACGTTGTTAATATTTTGTCGCATGTCCTTTAGCAGCAATGACGGCCCGACACCGCCTCGGCATAGAAGCAATCAAATTATTGCAAGTTTCAATCGAAATGTGTTCCCATGCCTCTTTAAATGCCGTGTATAGTTGATGCACGTTACTTGTACGTTTTTTTGCAACCATTTTCTTCACACGGGACCACAAGTTTTCGATCGGGTTAATGTCAGGACTATACGGTGGCCAATCCAAAACTGTTACTGATTGGCTTCTAAGAAATTCTTTGACCACTGCTGAAGTGTGTTTGGGATCATTATCATGTTGAAAAGTCCATATCACCGGCAAATGATCCTCGGCATAAGGTAACATGGTGTTTTCTAAAATATTTTTATATTGAAATTTATCCATGTTACCTTCTATTTTTTTAATAGGTCCCACACCGTGACCAGAAAAACATCCCCAAACTTTGATATTACCCCCTCCATGTTTAACAGTTTTTTTTGTGTATTTTGGATCCATTTCTTTTTTTGAAGGACGCCTCACGTAAACTTTTCCATCAGAGTTAACCATATTTATTTTAGTTTCGTCAGAAAAAAGCACATTTTTCCACTGTCGCTCTGTCCAATGTGCATATTTTTTGGCAAACAGCAATCTGGTTTTGATGTTTTCTTTCTTCAAAACCTTCCGAGAAATTCTTGCAAACAAGTTTGCCTCACATAATCGCCTTCTCACCGTTCTTGCAGACACTCCTCTAGATTCCTCTGCACCAAATACTTCCAAGCGAATGACTTCTGATCCTTTGAAAGGGTCTTTTTTAGCCAACAATTCTATTCTAGTGTCTTCTCGCTGGGTTGTTTTTCGCGGTCTAGGTTTCCTAGGCACATTTTCCGTAGTGTTAAATTTCTTAAAATGCCGGATAGCGTTCATTACCATATCTTTCGAGCATCGCAAGTGTTCTGCAATTTTCCTATATGACCACCCTTTTTCATAAAAAATCAGAATTATCTTCCTTGTGGAAGGATCGCAACTTTTGCTTTTTCCCATAATATTTCAATTTAAATTTCACAATAAACTTAGAGCACGGCTAAAACTGAGTGAGATTTTGCGTATCACGAAAATTCGCTCAATATTAGAAAAAATCAGTGCTCTTTTTTATTTTTTATTTCAAGTTTAGAACACGAAATACACACTGTCTTTAATTAGATGGCCAGCAGCTAATGTATCGAAAAAGTTTGAATGATATTTGAAATAGGAACTATGTAAACTCTTTTTAGTTAAACTTTGATACTGTTCTCATTTTAAAAAATATATGATGTCAGTGTATGTAAAATGACTATTAAAATGGAATTGATACCTATCTTGGGTCTCTAAATATCATTTAATTTTTTGTATGTGGTCAACATCAAGGGTGTCTTTAATTATGTGGTGGTGGTCACCACTGTACTTAATATTTAATTACCGATGAAATGTGATTCCGTTTGTTTTGTAATTAGATGTTTTGTTGTTTTTCTCACACCACCGAATGGAACAGCCCCTATTGTTAGAGATATTATCTTTATTACAATAAATACAGAATATTTTTGGAATATACGAAGACGTACACACAGGTCAGTTATTGGCGCTGCTGTACTATTTCAGATTTCTAAATTTGTGACTTCAGCGCAAATGAAACTTGATATTTAAGTGATATAAGGCCCTGATGAGTTGCCAGGGGTGGATGGCCTTTATTTCGTCTCTATTTCTAGTTATACATATACTCGATGTGTGTAATAAACAGTTGCGTAATGATTAGGGATACCGAGTCGGCAGCCTCCGGAATGAGTCGTCGGCACCCTCCGGAATGCCTCGGCAGCTTTCGGGATACTTCGGTAAACATTTACGTTTAACGTTACGACTGATCTCTAGGCGCGAGCGAGCGCGATGTCCTGACAGCATATCATATCACTTGTAAAGATACGAAGGGTCCCTTGTCACACCTTCCTGCCAATGGGCACGGGGCCTAACTGGAACTAGAAATGTATTACACAGTTTACCACCCACCTGTCTTTGAATTCCGTAGGTGACACATTTTCACCAGCGCATAGAGTATTCGCTAAATTTATGAGCTCGTCCGCTGCGAGTTTAATGTTCACCGCAGTTGGTCGTGCGGACACCAAGTAATTGAGTTTGCCTTCAATCTGGAATTAGCAATATTGTCAACTTAATTAAATATACTAACATGTAGTCATCATCGTCGTCAATAAGTCAACTTCAAGGACCCCTCCTGTAGACCACAGACCGGCAAGCTGGCCCAATTTGGGTTGGGGATTTGACACGTTTTCCATTGGTTGTGAACCTTCTTCGATTATCACTTTCAATCACGTGAGATGGAACTGAACTGGATTGACGTCCAAAGCGCGCTTATTTAAAAAAAAATAAAATTAAACTACTAACTGATTTATTAAATCAACGGCCAGGTGATATTATTAAAAAATCAACATGGTACGGCGTACCATTTCTTTCCTGTACGTCTTTGGGGCTAGCACGACAGGGTGCGACTTGCGCGAGAGCGACATACAGCTATTTTTGCATAGAGAATAGAAACATCTCGCACATCTATGTCGCTCCCTGTCGTGCTAGCCCTACTGGCGACAACAATCGGCGAGTACTTTACGTCGATTCGCAAATCCTTTCACTATGAAGGCAAGCATTATAGTGTATGCTAACGATACGGCAAGAAGGTTAGACGTTTCAAACTGTTTAGGATCATCTGTTTTGGTTCGAGTGTTGCAATTCCTCTTAACAATAATCTATACAATTTTTATGTTTATTGAATGTCGGGATGTTTTACTACCGTGACAGTCAATTATTTTTTGTGAAATTACTCCATCAGTTTGTTACAATTATTATAATAAAAATCGAAACACTAAGAAAAATGTATTAGATCCGGCTGGATTCGAACCAGCACTTGAGAGTGCTGGTTCGAATCGGAATTCGGATTGCCTGAGGGCAATCCGTGTCAGGTGCTCTACCAATTAAGCCACGGAACGAACCAGCGCAACTTACGAATTTTTCTATGTGCTTGTTGCAGATCCGTTTTTGTTTTTAACGACTTTTTGCCGTAGCGCCATCTGTGAGAAATTTATTTCTTCACTAAGAGCTACTATCGCTTACTAGAGATGTCGCTTACTATATAATAATTGTAATTTGTGTTAAAAAAATTTTATATCATGACATTAAATTTTTTTTTGCGAAATGACTAGTTTGTTATAATTATTATAACAAAGATAGAAACACTAAGAAAAATTCATTCGAGTAATCTATCTATGTATAAGTGGTTTCCCAGTAGGAGTACGGTTACTTTTTAATTGAGAGGATCTACGGTTTAGATTGTGACGTTCCCAACCCGCATTAAGTCAGCGTGGTGGACTATAGCCTAAACATTCTTTTTGGAGGAGACCCGTCCCCAGCAGAGAGTTAAAGTTCAGCAATCACAATTATAACCACAAGCTACATTGTCAATTAGTAATTCAAACTACAATAACCAAATCATTTTAGAAGATAGTGATGTTAGGTTATTATCTGACCTCCTGTCTCATGATTTTTTTGTCAGACGAGTTGTCCTTCAGTAATTCAACGGCGAGTGATAAGCATCCCACAATCGCAATGGCAGGCGCCCCTCTCACCTAAAGAGAAGAGAGAAGAGAATTTTAGACAAAAGCTGTTAGTATTCAAGACAAAACATTTGAAAATAAAATTATTGCCATAGAAAAAGTGTCATTTTTAGTATAGAATAGTGTATTCAATGCACAGTACAATGTATGCTTAAATCATATAGGTACAGTCAAAAGCACATCAAGCTTGAAACTTTGGACCGTTTTCATCGCCAGCGAAGCGTCATAAGGTGCAAATTTTATGAATTTTCTGTACTGTGAGTACCAGAACAACAAAATTACTACTTACGTAAGTTTTGTTTATAGTCTCTCCCTCCCTATCAACCTCTTGGTTATACGGGAAAGGCAACATTACCTGTGCAAACAAGCTTGCACAGGAGCCTTGTCAGTCAGATCCTGACCCCTGATTGACACAGATTTGACAAGAATAGTATGCTCACCCAAAGCATACAGACCAGAAAATATTTTGAAAGTCCCTTTTCCAAACAGGGAAATGAACCCAGGACCTACTTACTCATATAGCCCCTAGTGCCAACTGCCGGGCCACACACGTAATATGTCTGCATATAGTCAAGAGCACATCAAGTTTCAATCTTTAGATTTAAATTCACCTTTAGGCCGTCTACGAAAGGTCCAAAGTTGAGTGTCGAGCTTGATGCGCTCTGACTGTACTTGGCGAGATATTTAATACAAATGTAGTAAGATATAATGACTTATCAGTAAAAGACTCACGTAAATAATCAGTAAAGATAATACAGCATCAAAATTATACAATCTAATCTTTAAAGTCTGTTCTCAACTATTGTTTGCATACATGTAATTATGCCTTGTAATAGTATGCACAATAAAACTAAAATATAGTAATGAAAGTAAATATTTTAAAAAATTCACAAGGAAGAAAGTAAATTTTGCTAAATTTTGTTTGATTAGAATAACTCATGTCAATGTTCATAAACCAGTGAAGTGACAGTGAAATCGAGATTCATTGTTAAAATAAATCAACTGACCTATGACATTTACAAGCCAGATCTCTCTAGGAGGATCTCAATAACCTGGACAAAACTGTCAGCTTCTAAAAGGACCTTTGTTACTTGGTTGATTGATATGTAACTCTTCAATTTTCTTATCTCTCTATATCATTATTAGCTATAATAATATGGTACTACTTCCTGAAGTACTAAGTTCGGAGTTTAGTATTACAGAAACAGGTGAATATAATTTATCTAGTGATCTAGTGACATCTAGTGACGATACGAACAAGTTGTGCGCCTGATGGTAAGCTACACGCCTGTCCATAAAAGTTACAGTGCCTCTCAGAGCTTTAAATTGCAAAGATCTGAGGGTCACTGTCACTGCCCCTCTCACCTTGAGACTTAAGTTGACAAGTCTCATGTGCCTGTGATTTCGCCAGCACCCTTAACTTTGAAAACCGGAACTCAGTAACACTGACATTACTGCTTGGCTGCAGAAATAGGAAAGGTGGCAGTACTACCCTAAACAAACACTTTCACAAGGAGTTCTACTGCTACTAAATATTCACATTATAGATGTTCACATGTAGTTATGTTTTCAGGAAAACAGATAATTCAAATGTAAAGAGTCCGTGTGTAACCTTAACAGTAACATTTTAATTGTAGTAGTGAAGTACGATCATAAACATTATAATGTAAAGTAATTATCTAAGATCAGTATAAGCAGAGTGTAATTAATTTTTATTCACCTTTTATTTACCTTTTATTTGAATTACCATCAAGTATAAATATAAAATGCACTACCTCCACTCTAAATGTAATGTAATTGCTAGTAACAAATCAAAAATATAGAATAAACTACAATACAATAATTCCAAGATTTCAGAAGAAGGTATTATTTGCTCTATATGTATTACTTCTCTGGAGTTTAAGTAAATATATCAAACAGCTTCAAATGGACTTCCATAAAGTTCCTAAACTAAAAAAGTACTATTAGACACCTGTGTATTATGTAGAAAAATACAGGTGATAATATGAATAAAAATGTTTAAAGAAGCTATTGTGAGATGTTAAAATGTGATAACAAACACAGTATATTGTGTTGATTGTAAATTTAATCATAAATTAAATTTTATAATCAGGATGTTAGATAATTGGGTAATTTTTTACTTATAAAGAGCGAGTAATTAATACAGGGCCAGCATTACACTACTTTACCCTAAATACTTGTGCCAATATAATAATCACATAAACAATGCAAATCTTAAAATCTAACGAAATTCCCTAAGACACTTCATCCCAGACTTAGTATAATTTATTTACCACATCACAAAACATACAAACAAAAAAATACATCTTAACAATACATCTTAAAACAAAAAAAATGTTACTGTTAATTTTAGCCTTCAAAAGACATTTGTAGTGATGAAACAAATAGTTTATCTGGCCTCTAGTCGAAAACCAAATATTCGGCCAAGAATGTGACCAGATAACTGAAAATTAAGCCTGATTAATGCTTGTTCAAAAATTGGCACAAAAAATTTTAATGAAGACAGTAATTACGTATTTCATTCCAGTTCGATTGACTTCCAAAAACTTTGTTTTATTTTGGTTTGCAAATAACAATTACTTGGTTGATTTTGTTGCATCTATTTATACTTTGTCCAATTTATTTTTATTTATTTAACTATTGACAGCTCGAATTCTAATCAATTAGTAATGTCCTAGTGCGTTTCTGATTTGATTTTTTTATAACGATCTATTTTATTTATGAAGAATTTGTGAATGTGAGCGGGTCAAAAAAAAAGATACTGTCTGATTGGTATTGTGATGTTGCATTTGACAATTTGTGGACTCAAGAATCAATAATTAATGTTAATGAGGGTTCAAGCGATGATTCCCATTTATATGGAGAAGAATACGACGATCAATTATAACAAACAATAAAAATTTATTATAATTATTTATAATTTGTTTCATTTCATCATTAGAGAGGTACCAAAATTTATCAACTAGAATATCAGAGCTAAAGAGCACATCGCTTCACTAAAATTAAGAAATAAAAGAGTCAAGGAGGTTCTGCATTTTTTGTCTATAGTTGTATGTCAATAATTACAGAACTTCGGAGGCATGCATATGTGAAAAGTTAAATAAATAGTTGTACACTACATAATAAGTACTGTCCTTTTCTTGGACACTTAGAAAAGTAACTTAGTGATATTACGTTTCTTTCGATCTTTTAAATAAAGAAGCTAACAATTGTGTTTTTGTAACTTAAAATGTACATTCAGTACTAATAAAATTTATAGGATAATTTACTGTGTTTTTCTTATTTTTTCCTACTGTTTTCAGGTATACGGTATTCAGCCGAATAGTTATTCAATATTTGGCCATATAGCAAAAAACAGGCTGAATAAGCCAAATATCGGTACTAAGTCGGTTAGTGTCACTTAGTCATGTTATGCTGGTTATGTGGAAAACCTTATAAGTACTTTTAATGCTATTTGTGAAATAACTAACCTGCATTTTATTTATTACTTTCCATCCATCCTCCACGCCGTCAACCTTCACATATCTCGTCTGCAATGGCAGTAGTAGTTGGTCTAAGACTTCCAGACTACCTCTCTTGTACTTTATTGATTCTAAGCTCATTTTTGTTTAAAAACCTTTGCTAATCAGACGAATGGCACTTAACTCACGTTCTCTTTAAAATGACACAAGAAAAAAATCAAAGTTCTATTTTTGAATGTAAACATAAATTTAATGACAGGATATAGTGAATATATATAAATACTTACTAATCTTACATCTAAAATTAAACTCTGAAATTACTGGTTAACATTTTTGGTTATTTTGTAATACCATTGACAGTTTGACATAACATGGAATGACTTGTGCGAGAATGACAGCTGAAATCCAGAAAATAGACACAAAACTTGCAACAGATACAATGTCAAAATTCTTGGTAGATGGCAGCATGTAATTCAGATAATTTAAATAAAAATTGGATGCTTTATTCTTAGAGGATGGAAAAAAATAAAATATAGTTTCCATAGTCTAAGGCTTTATTAGACAATATTGTTTCTTTTGTTTTAATGGATATTTTCTTATATTTTTAATGACTTTGATTTTTCGCTTAATAAACTAAAACAGATTGAACATATTTTAAGAGAAACTCTTTCCATAAAACATAAATAACGATAAAACTTTTCTTTAAGTGTGATTAAGTTTACGTTGAAGAATACTTTAGATTAGGTATTATACACAATACTTAGGTATCCTATAGAATGGCTAAAACAGTCAGGCAACGTATGAAATAAACTCTATATTTTACACTTTGCCTAGGTGTTCTATACAATACCGAACTTCCATTAGGCATTGTATGTAAGCAGATACATAGTTTGTTAAATTTAGGTGCACAAATAACTTAGTGGTTTATATTCTCAGTGGGTGTACAAAGCAATGTGATAATAAAAAGGCTTGTGTGCTAAGAAGAATATTTTATACACGTCCAAGTGTCATAATAGTTCATCTTGTAAGATAAAGTAGGTAACTAAAAGAAATTGGCGATTAATTTACAAAATGATATTTATTCACGAATATCCCTATTTTTTGGAACGAAATATTATATTATAGTAGCAATGACAACTGATACACTAGTCAAACTTAACATACTGTCTATTGTATTAAGCAGAACTGTTATAGTAAGTGATTATCTAAAATCTGAAAGTAAATGTAATTTTTTTTACTTGGTATACAAATTTAAATTTAACTTTATTGCAACAAAGCACCCAATAAACTTTTAGGAACATTAATTTTTATTTGTTTGTTTAAAGTACCTACAGCATTGAATATTTAGCTTTTGTTAAAAAAAAAAACAAAATAAATAATATGCAATTAAATTAAAGTATTCTATACAATGCCTAGAAAATTTGTATAATCATCATTATCATCTCAGCCCGTTAACTATACGCAGCAGTGGGTGTTAACGGGCTGAGATGTGTATAATAGTTAAACAAATATTAACTATTATACATATGACATGTTGAACGAGATAAATATTTAAAGAGAGAAACGAGTAACTGATATTTATTCCGAATATTTAAAAAGAATCGCCCCTAAACATAACACATTAATATACGATAGACGATAGATATAAAACATTCTTCATTTGGGCTACTCTATGAAACAGAAGAGCTGAGCGGTAGGAAATTGAACTTCCGCAAAAATGAAACTTCCCCCTCAATGCCTTGTTTAGGACGAGCAAAATTTAGTTCTAACAGCAATGTGTAGTATGGAGTACGCCGACTAAGAAACGTTTCAGGATCCAGGACTTTAGCACGACTAATAACATCATTTGCGCAATATACCATAATGTACTACCGCATCATGGGCCAATATTAACAAGGCATCGTTATCAACGTCGCCGCGGCCGCATCTGCACTCTGAATGAGCCCGTAGGAAAGCGTGCGCAGAGGCCGCTAAAGGTAGCGGACACTCGCTGCATGTTCGATCTTGCGCAGAGTATTACAAAATGTTAGAGGTAGTATTTTCTTTATAGAAAGATATTTAAAAATGAGTCAGCTTTTTTATATATTCGGTATGGGTATAAAAATGTAGTTGGCAATAATATTTTAAACTGACTAGTGGATCCATCAAAAGTTACGGTTACCCTGCAATGTATTGAAAATCTCAACTTTTTCGCATCTCAGTATCTAAAACGTGTTGAACAAATTGGTTGCACATTTTAGTCCATTTTCAAAGGATTAAATAGAAAAAACAATAAAACTTTCAAGCGTAATCTCCCTATCAAGTTACAACCGCCATATTGAATCTATGAAGTAAAACGTGCTAGATTGGTTGATAATATCAGTAATGTTTACCCAATAATGGATATTGTCAAGTTTACGCCTTATCCCCGTTTTTCGGAGTAAATTTCGGAGAATCTCGTCTCTCTTGAAGCAATAGACGAAACCTTAGAGACGAAACAAACAAAATGACATTAATGGATTAAAAAAAGTAAATTTTGAACAGAGACGGTTTTTCTTTTATACCTCTCACTTTTTCCTTCATTAATTTGTTTATTTCACTGTGTATCTTAGACTATTTTTATTATTTTCCTTTATTTTTTTTCATTCTTATTGTCCATGCATTACTCAAGAGTTTTTTCCTTTTTCTCTTGGCTTTTCGCGGTAAGCGTTTTAGCCACTTACAAAGTGTTTTGATTGACTTGTTTTTAAAACGTGGAAACTTTTATAGTATCATGAAATGGAATTTGGAAACGGGATTTGAAACTTGGAGAAAAAGTGAAAAAGGGATCAAGCGAGGAATTATGAGATGTAAATAAACATGGTATAAATATAGAATGAATATCATATTATTATTAGGCAGCAGTTAAATTTCTATATTATTTTCTAAAATAAATTTAGATAAATAAGTATATATAGAAAAGTTACTGGACAACAACAAAAGATTCACACATTATACTCGATGGTTTCACATAATTTTAACTGTAATTAGGTTACATACTCAACAGATGTCACCATTAGTAGCAGTAGAAAAGATTATTTTATTGACAGGAGTAGCAAACTTGATAACTCTTAATTATTTGATTTAACAAAAATATACACCTAGTTACGTATAACGGCATGAAAAAATGTTATGAATTTAAATTGAGCATGTTTTTCATTAAATTAGTGTTCACAAATTGTAGTTTAGGATAATATAAATTAAATAGTACTTCATGGAAAACGGAAGTTCCTTTAATATTGTCTGTGGTCTATTAACGTTCATAAATACAATGATTTGTTGTCCTTTATCAAAACAATTAATTAAATGACCACAAGTTTTTATTTCATTTTTATGGAACCACAGTACTTTTATACAAAAATAAACATTTCAGTTGTTATGAATCCTTAAATTTGTCTTGAATGGGCAAAAAATATGTAAATATTCGGAAAAAAAAAACTTTGTTTCTAAACGAATATCGTAACGGAAATGCTACGATTTTCGTTGTCTATACCCTATTTCAATTCCATTTCCGCCCGGCATTGACGAGAGACGCATCGTCATTGTGGTGATTTTTAAAGTGAATTTTATTCTGTGATTCTACGGAAACTAGCAATATGTCGTTGCCACGAGTTTACATGGATGTATCTGCCGACGGCACGCATTTAGGAAGAATTGTGATTGAGGTGAGTTTTTAACTAAATAATTGCTAATGTCATCCCGGCCGGCGTGCTAACGACCGGCCACGCTATTTCTCGGGGCGTTTGTGTCCTCATATTACCTTGACAATAACCTATACATGATTGTGAATATTGCAATTTGGGTTATCATAGAAACTAGTCGTATTGTCGTACCTTGTTACAACTTTCTTTACTTTTTCAAATCGTAGAAACGCCTAAGTTTCTATAAATAGTTATAGGTAGGTATGTAGTCATAATTAATTCTCGCCTGACTGAGATTTCCTACACCCATGTGAAGGTCGTTTGTCCAAAGGAGAACTCGTATGAACGGAAGTAAACTGCCATTGGTGCCACTGTAGGTTGGCGAGCAGTTGCCACTCTGTTGACATACATATATGGACAATCATTATATTGTTTCCTGTTTATTTTGTGTTTACACATAACTGCTTGTGCTGGAATGAATTTTGAGCTTAAATGTATTTATCTTTTGCAGTTGAGAACAGATGTCACTCCAAAGACGTGTGAAAACTTTCGTGCTCTGTGCACGGGCGAGAAGGGCTTCGGCTACAAGGGCTCCACATTCCACCGCGTAATCCCCAACTTCATGCTCCAAGGCGGAGATTTCACGAACCACAATGGCACTGGTGGCAAGTCCATCTATGGCGAGAAATTTGCTGACGAAAATTTCGTTCTGAAGCACACTGGCCCTGGTGTCCTCTCTATGGCCAATGCTGGCCCCAACACCAATGGCTCCCAGTTCTTTGTCACCACTGTCAAGACCTCTTGGCTTGATGGACGGCATGTTGTTTTCGGCAATGTGGTGGAGGGCATGGAACTTGTCAAGCAGATTGAGGCTTTGGGCTCCCAATCTGGCAAGCCATCCAAGAAAGTTGTCATCTCTGACTGTGGTCAGCTTTGCTAAACATCATAATTATAAAGTATAACACAATATTTTAAGTTTAAACATAATGTCCTCCCAATGTAATACCTTCCCAGTTTAAAAGGCATACAATGTTTTAAAGTTAAATAAGGGTCATTCCAATATATGAAAATAAAGTTTATAGCTATCTTTTAGGTCGCAAAATAGGGATTGCATTTGTTTCTGTGCATTGTCTGTTCATAATAAATTAACTTATGGAAATATTTGATTTGTATTTATTTTCCTCAAATAAATTTCATTAAAGATTTGGTTTTCAAACAGTATGACTTGTTTGTACATAGTGAAAATGAAATGAAAATGTCTTTATTAACTATCACAAAAGAAACTTATATATATGCCTATGGTCCTACATGTTCTTGAATTTAGTTTCATTTGTGAAAGTCTGGTGTCCATACTAGGATTAACCTGTGTTATAGAGCACCAGGCTCTCACCCTTACACCTGTAAGCAGATGTAAGTCTTAAGCATATGTAAGTGTAGTGTAAATGGAATGGTTTGCTTATCACAAGTTATTATCAATATGCATATATAATTGTATAACTCTCTTTATCTTTGGTAATATCTGTGTGTATGTTAGGTAGTATGAACTATAGGAGATGGAAGTTTTTTAGATACACAATTATCAAAAAAAGTTGAAGTGTCCACGCATGTTGTGATATCGAAATACAGGTTTTTGTTACGGAGACCAAAGTATTGTGTGTAATGTGTTTCTGTTTTAAGTTAAGGAAAATTACTGAATAGATTACAGACGACTGCTGCTCTGAAAAAAAAACGCATTGAGACTTACTAGAAGGTGAATCAACAGTGATGTCATGTACAATGAATAGGTAGATATAGTTAATGACTCAACGAAAGTTATCGTAAATCAAACTTCAGTATACAAATGATGCCTTATACTCGTATACTCACACACACACACACACACACATATATCTATACAAACAAAGTAAATTATAAAATTGCGTTAGCGCTGAATGTGTTTAACGGTGAAAAATTGCATGACAGAGAAGATTTAATAAGTCACTCTAGAAACTTGGTCTTAACTTCTCTCAGAAGAGACACGTGCTCGCCACTGGAACGCTTTAGGATTACTACATTACACTACTGATCCAATTCTTGTATATACATTCAGGTAGATAAGCGTTTATTTACCAACTATTATGCAGCTGAATTATCATTGTAACAATGCTATTACGTAATATACGTATATACTATAGCGAATTACCGCCAAGTGTCATGTTTGTGTTATACTTAAACCTATACTGGATCGAAGTGAGTATTAAGTACCATAAGCTACTTACACGAAGGCTTCCGATCCAATAGAAACTTCGGAATGTAAAGAAATTTACGTAAAGGGTCCAATTGTATTTTGTATCGAATTGTAGACGCGACATTTGCTCGTAACATTATAACAGGAGTTAAGTATGTTCATTTATTTACGTGTATTGTATAGTGTGTACAAAATGCACTTGGAAGAAGGAAAAGGTATTTGATATTATATGTATTGATATGGCACAATAACAGTCAGTTATGTCTTTTTTGTGTTTTATTTATGAAATGAAGTAATTATTATAATTGAACTACTTAACAAGGGCATAGTTCCGGACATTACTAAGAGAAATCCTTTGAAAGTTTTCTAACAAAAAAACGTCAAATATGACTTTTTTTCGTAGAAAATCTGATTAGTCAGTCACCGTACTGTAGTACCAACAATTATTGAAGCGGATTTTTCCAAAAAAATTGGTATGCCTAGGCCTTTTTTCTTGATCCCGAATATGTATATAACCACAGAATTCTAAATAAATATGCGCATTGTATATTTAGTTTTCTGTGTACGCAATCTCAATTTTGATAAAAATAATAGTTGTACCTTTTTTCATTCCGACGGCAAAATAGTAAGGTAAGAAATCTTAATAAAAGGTGTGTCAGGTAGTAAAAGGCATAATTTGTAATAATATTACTTAATGCTAAGTCAAATTTACAAGAATTTCTAATAGCTAAGGTATAATTAAACAATAGGTACCTTCTTAAATCAAAGGGAATAAGGTTTAAATTAAATTTTACATTCGTGATTAGTTATATAGTTTGAGTTACATAATGATCCCTATGTAGTTATATTGTTAAAATGTTACTCTATGCATTTATCAAGGTTTTAGAACTAGAAGCAGGTAAAACTGTTTGTGGGGCACGATTTTGATGTCTATACACACTGTAGCGTAGTGCCTAGGCCCTGCGGCGCAAAAAAATAAAATCTTAGGGAGATACCACTCGGGCGTTGCGTCGTCGCAACTGCGTTGATTTCGACGGAACAGCTCGTGCGGCACTCAGTCCGCACGCACTGTGTCAACGCACCGTGTAGCATGTCATTCTGATTTATATAAGTATATGTACGCAGTTGCGACGACGTAATGCCGACGCGACGCCCGTGTGGCATCTCCCTTAGAAGTTTCGAAGAAAATTTTATGATGACTACTACTTTCTGATATTTAGTTACGTCTTCTTACTACACACCACTAAACACATAGCGACGTGTACGTTACCTTGAAAAACATATTTATTCTGTATAAATCGTGCCATTTGACTTAGAATAGTCGTTGGGTAGGTAAGTGTGGTAATATTTAATACGTGCCTGCAATTATTTTTTACTCTATCTATGTTAGATAAGCTGAACATGAACACTATACAGATATTGTGTGTTAGTACAAGCAATATCAGTTACATAGTAATGACTGAGTAGGTGAAAGTGCATAATGTTTGTGTATTATTTATTAGAATATGTAACGCTAAAAGCAGTTAGATATTGGTCACATTATTCATTAGTAAGTAAAACTTCGTAATTACAACGAAAGTGACAATGTGAAACCTATTATAACGAGATTAAGAATCAATTGTGCTTTTCGGTCATTATGTCGACAAAATGACTCACTACAATTGATAATATCAATTTATAACCACAAAATCTAAGGGTAAGTAAATTAAGATTCCCGTGTGCCCTATAAAATATTTTAACAACCGTCTTTTTAAATTGTGGCAACTCTAACTTTAATGAATGATTTTTATTCAAGCACCTTACTTTTTACATAGTTACCTTTACTCAATAGAACATTTGCACTGAAGATTATACAATTCAGTATTATTAATTACTAAATTTGTTTTCAGGTATCAATTGAAAGGTAACGATGTAAACGATAACGGTTTACAATCAGAATTTAATCATGCGATCATAACATAGCTAAGAAGATAGTAAGGCAGGGTCCTAAGAAATGTGAGATCAGATGAGTAGCGTCTGAACCTACGTTGCACAATGATTCAGTGCAACATGATGTGCAGGCGTAGAGTTTCGTTCTTTCTCCGATGACAATGCAACCCGGCATGCAGTTCTTCGTGCAGTTCCGCTCGAGAGCCCACATTTTAAGTGCGGTTGTTGAATTCTCTGTCGATGTCGTGTAGGAGAAACGTTTCACCTGTGTACAAAAATGTAATGTCATTCTTTTATCGTTCATTGCATCAGAACGCGAGTAACGGTACCACAGACTGGTTTTTGATTTATGTGCACTTTTTGATTTTTATATTTTAGATAATAATAATTTTATATGATATTCAGTGACTTGAAAAGTTGGCGTATCAAAAAGCAGCAAGAAAATATAATACAAACTAGACCACATCACAACATCCACATCTGAGGCAGTTTTGTTGTTGTTTGTTTGTTATTTTAAAGTGAGGCCTATCCTGGAAAAATTGCTAGAGAGTTGATTTAGGTGGTACCTACAGACATGTTATGCGACGACCGCCTGATCACATCATGAGTAACCAACCCGTGAGACGTGGTTTACCACGTCTCTTGGGTTGGTAGACAGGCGTGTAGTTTACCATCAGGTTCACGACGTGTTCGTCCCTTCACTTGATATTATAAAAGAAAACCTCAACCTGTAAATCGACACATGTGTGTACTTCTAAAAAAACTATTGAAGTCTAATACAATTGAAATTCATAATCTATGACTAATTGTTTACTTGTATTGTATTTATTAACATTTGTATTATGTCATTGCATATAACAATGTGTAACTAAAAGGTTCGGGCTGAATACATAACAATGAACTTTAGAACAAAAATGTAAGGCATTAAATAGAGTACGGTAGTATAAGTTCGCCTATGTAAAATTGTTTGCTTGTAGAACTATACCCCATTGCGAAACTTGAACCCACTACTTACATAATATATATTTTTCAATGGCAAACCGAAAAAAGCATGATCTATGGGGTCTAACAAAATTTTGTCGCCATAATTGTCAGCTGGTAAACATAGTCACTGAATACGATATCTTATGTAAGTTGTGGGTTCAAGTTTCGTAATGACGTACAGTATCGATTGTGTTCTTCGGTAAAAACATTAAAACTTCGTTAATTTATTAGTTCGGTTGACTATATTTCGTATATTCTGCAATGGTTTATGGTGTGACATCGGATATTGTTGCGGTTTTGTGATGATAACAGTCTGTGGTCGCTGCACTATATCTTACTACCTACTCGCTTAACGCGACGCCGTACTACAATGTGTAGTTAAAATTTTTGTTAAGTTATAATATTTACCTATACTTATTCCCTGTCTAATCTTTGGTCTAATTTTTATTATTTATACATTTCATTTTTTACTTTCAATATTCCATGATATTTGCGTATATTTATTACATGTGGACTAGTATTACTTTTTGTAGCATTAGAGTTCCTTGTGAAAGAGTTCCTTCTGGAAATTACTGCCACCGTAACTATTTCTACCGCCAAGCAGTAATGTGATGTAAGGGTGAAATTACAAGCACATGATATTATCAAGTGACGAGACTAAAAAAATCAATAATCAATAGTCAACTTATATTGGCCCCGTCCCATATAAAATCCGATAGTAAAGGCTTAAAAAGTATTCTACAGTATTTACCTGTACATTTGGGGTAAACGTATCAAATGGCCGTTCTGAAGTTCTGGCTGCTTTGAAGTTTAATAAAGTCTTTCTAGTGTCAGATTCAGACAATAGAAACATTTTGAATTAAAATGTTAAGGCTTCTAAATTTTATACCTCGACGTCCTTCATTTGTTTTCATTTGGTTAATTTTGCAATCGCTTTGAAATCAGACCTACATTTTAAGAACAATGGAGCTCTTTGTTAAAGAGTTCGTCCAGGGAAGTATTGTCACCTTACCTATTTCGGTGCTGGTGAAATAACAGGTACATGGGACAATTTCAATTTATGTCTCAAGGTGACGGGCGCAGTGGCAGTACGCCTCAGATCTTTGTGATTTAAAGCTCTTAGTGGCACTGCTACTGTTATGGTCAGGAGTGTAGCTTACCATGAGGTGCACAACTTGTTTGTCCCATCACTTGATATAATAAAAAACATACATACTACAAAAATTCGTATATAGGTACCTTTTAATACGAGTTCTGACGTGACTCAAAACATAAACAACGTGTAACTATGTAGATATATTATTCCTCCATGTGAAAGGGTAGTTGTACACTGTGTCCGTTTTACATTGTACGTAGACGACTAGCGCTTAAGGTGAATAACGACGAAATGTAAGCTATTGCTGAAGCCGACCAATCGTAAATTCCACAGAAATTAGAAGCGAGGTTTAATGTTACTGTCCCCACAATACTGACCCATTTGCGTTATATTGGTAAAATACTGCCCGAACTACACAACGGGCAATGTATGTTGCAGTTTGCACTATCTTGCGCTGCATAATGAATTGACATTACCCAACAAGCCATCTCCACCGTACGAGGTTTGCAGATTAAAGCCCTTCGCTACCACTTATTTTCCATATTTTTATTATCTACAATAAAAACAATTTAGTTCACGTGAAAAAATCGAGAATGAGATCTAAGACTTCGTGGATTCAAAGGAGCTTCCAATAAGATGGTAAAAGTGTATTATTAGCATGGATGCATAATTTCCATCTACCCCTTTTCATCAACGGGGGACTAGGTGCAGGCTGGGGCCCTATGTTGTGGATATTCTAAAGAATCGTACAAAGCGTTTCGCTTCCACATTACAAGATGAACGGTTATGGAATGGAATTCGATGCCTGCAGACATCTTCCTTGAACGATATAACTTGGGCCTTTTCAAGGCGAGAGTGAATAGGCATTATTTAAGTGTACATGCTCCATCGTTAACCTCATCGTCACTTTTCCTTTACTGTAACCCAGCACATATATTAAAAGTTATAACAGTGAAAACGACAAATGTGGTGTAAATATAATGCTTCAGGAAAATACATATTTTTTCTTACAAATAAATAAATAAATAACGCACACACTCAACGTACACACAAAAATTAAGACTCTGGATATTCAACATTTGTGGACGGTCTTAGAATCCCTACAAGTCGGATCACCTGGCAACACTACTATTCATATTTCATCATTTGGAATAGAATTTTTACGTAACCAATGTGGTCTACGCATTTTAATGTGATGAATAGTTACGTAGAAATAGCCCACAGTTTCACAAAACAGTAATAGCAACGTAACAAAAAAAGAAAAGTACGTAGTGAGAAGGTTAAAGAGTATATTCACCATGCAAACTCTCCTGTCATTATGACACTTGTGGATAAGTGTAGAGCTGTTAGGTTTGAGACTGGCGCAGTCATCATCAGGCGTTTCTGCCTGACATTTGTAACACCACAGCTCATTGTTCGGCCTGGCTGCGGCAGACGTCACGTGTACACTGTCCCGGAGGAGATCGCTCTCACTTTCTGGAATGTATAAGACAGAGGCTTTTAAACAAATTCTTCTTAAGTTACACAATTGTTTGTTCTAGGCAAGTTCCAGTCAACAAAAAGCGATGTTTTATTAGTAACATAGAAGTCTTGTAAAAACTATCTTTACCAACAGCACTGTAGGACATGTGTTCTCTAACATAAGGATATTAGGCCACAGATTGTACTGGGTTGCATTGGGGACTTAATTAACTAAGTTTCACTACTTTTCTATGATATTCATTCATAGGGAAACTCACCACAATTTGGGATCATTACTACGGATGGGGTTCATTACTAGGTATGGTATTGCCTGGAACTACACGTAGTTAGTAGGTCTTTTGAGGTTAGAAATTAATAAAGTTGTAACTGAAAGGTAGTTGTTTGGACGTATGACAATAGTGTTTGTACTTTAGAAACGTACCTACATAATTGAAAAAAACCGTATGATTTGATGCTAAATTATACGTTTTAGAACAATATAAACAAAGAGCCTTTGTACCATAGACAAGGAGCTTGACGTAGGAGATGTTCAGTCCCTAATTGACGTTGACGACGATAGTTTAGAAAATATTTAAGTATGGTTTCGTATTAAGAGTCAGGACTGTCAGCTCGTCTCCTAATAATCAAGGTTTTAAGGTTATTTTGACATACCTGATACGAGGAATGACAGCGAGAGCACGAGAAGAGAGCGCATGATGTTTATACTGAGAAGTGCGCAGGTCCCAGCTTCCGTATCGATCCTTCCATGTCTGCAGCTAGACCTGTTGCTGCTCCCGGTTGGCCCCGCCCACCCCGCGCACGCTTCACCCCTTTGCCCCGAACACTTTGATCGAGAAAAACAATTTCAACTTTCTGAATTTTACGTGTAATTGAAAACTTTTTGAGATTTCTGAATAGATCGTAAGCTGATGGTATGGAAAGGAACAAAGAGACGTACAAGACGAGTTTGCTTTAGGAGGATATTTCCTATAGTGTTGTTTATTATATTTTCTCTATCACTGTATGTAAGTGACAGTTTACTATTTATTTTATTGACTGTATTAAAAGTATGTTTCGTTACGTATAAATCTATTAAATAATGGCTTATTTTGCAATCTTTGATGAAAGATTGTTTGTTTTAATAATATCAATGCCAAGTGAAACGGTTTCGCTATAATTAATTTATTTTAAAATACCCCTTCTTAAGAGAAAATATTATTTTCATTATACTTAGCACGTTTTCCTCGTAAAATACGTGTTAAATATGCAATGCTGGCAACCCCATTTTCCTTATTTATATTAGCGGCTGTTAGTGGTCACAATTGTATCAAATTGCGTATAATGATGCACTCAAGCGGCTCCTGGAGCTAACGATGCATAACGTTTTCAATTGGCCGTAATAGGTCCTGTACTATCGCTCTCCGTCCGAAACAATTAATGTGAAATAAATAATACTCAACCAAATTCACAGACGCATGTTGCGAATAAAGCTTCACACTTCACATTGTTTTTTAGCTTGGTCGATTATTATGTATTCGATAGTAATTGTTTCGGACGTATTTCGGAGAGAACGAAAGTAGACCCCCTGAAAATGAATTAAATTTATATCAACGTTCATTTATTTTTTATATAATTATTTTGTTCTAATTAGAAAAATCAACAATGTTTTCACATGTACCCTAATAATGGATGTCCAGTACAGGGTATACTATTCAATATTGGATATCCAGTATAGAGTATACTCTATTAACCAGGACACGTATTTAAATTATCCTTTTCAATTTGCGAAAGCATTTAGGCAAAAATTGTAAACGGTCATCTTGCGGACTTATTCGCCGAACGCTATAACTTGGACGTTTCCAAGGCGAGAGTGAATAGGCATTATTTAGGTGTGCATGCTATATTGTCGACCTCATCATCACTTTCCATCAGGTGAGATGGAGGTCAAATGCGCACTTATTCTTTATAAAAAAAAAGACGCCTGACCTTAGCAGTTCCAATACCACTCAGAGCTTTAAATGGCAAATATCTGGTGCGTTGCCACTATGCCCGTCACCTTGAGAACCAAGTTGACAAGTCCCAAGTGCCTGTAATTTCACCAGCACCTTTCGAGTCGAGCGGTTGGAGTCGCGCCACAACGTGAATTTTAATTCATTTGTGGTGCGAGTACCAACTCAACACCTGTCGACCTTCATGAGAGAAGACTTTTGGCCGAAGGGTGTCATATACCGGCGTTTCCGAGGACGGCTACCGGACACTCACGTTGCGTCACACGTCGAAGTACATACGTGTAAATAAATAGTGTTATATGTATATTATCATGTTATATTGTATATATGATTAGTCCGTAAGGTATTTATTTAATATTTCTGTTATTGTTTTATTATATTATTGTTATATTATATGTATGTTAGTCTGTAAGGTATGTATCTATGGGTCCTAGTTGCCTGAAATAAATAAATAAAAAAAAAAAAAAAAATTATCTTTCAAAACCAGCAGCAGTAGCTCCTTGTAAAAGAGTACGTCCAGGGAAGTACTGCCACCTTACCTATTTTTGCCACCAAGCTGTAATGTTAGTATTACTGCATTCCGGTTTTGAATGGTAAGGGTGCTGGTGAAATTACAGGCACATGGGACTTGACAACTTATGTCTCAGGGTGATGGACCCCTCAGATCTTTGTGATTTAAAGCACTGGGTTGCCTTGTAACTATTATGGACAGGCAGTGTAGCTTACAATCAGGCGCATGACTTGTTCTTCCCGTCACTTGATATTATAAATTAAAAAAAAATCAAATCGCACTAATGCTCACACTACTGCTTGGCGGCAGAAATAGGTAAGGTGGCAGTACTTCCCTGGACGAACTCTTTTACAAGGAGCTCTACTGCTAATAACATTTATAATCGTTCAAAACTTATAGTATTATCATCCACTGACCTTCTTATATACGTGCGTATATAAGAAGGTCAGTGGATGATAATACATTCTTATTTTTAGTTATCTTACTTGAGTTACAATTAATGTTTATTTCATAGGTAAGCAAATTCCATTGAAGTCGTCATATTGATTAAACTCTACAGTTTATTCGTAAAGCCGATTCCCCTGAGGATAATAGACAAGGAACTCCAGGGTTTGCCCTTTGTAAATATAAAATAATTCTACACATTAATCATTTACAATATTTATTTTAAACGTCTTAAATCGAGATAACCTGCAAGAGCTATACGGGGTAATGCCATAGACTTTTGTCATCCAACTACGCAGAAGCTATATTATAACTTTAGTATAAAGTTTTTGTTTCACTATGGTTTTAAATTTCGTGAATGGTAAATTTCGAACGTTAATTTATTTATACTTATCTTTCAAAGACACTCCGGGGAAGCGACTGCGAAGCAAGGCTGACCTTCGTACCCTAAATACTTTTTTTTTAATTTGAGCTTATGTAAAACATAAAATAGATAGACAGGAAATTCTTTATTGTTAGCACCACATACATAGAAAGATTACAGGACAAAAATAAAACGTTAGCAGGGTAACAATTGGCGAACTAATTAATTGCTTATTTCTTCCAGACAACCTTAGGATGGAAAGAGACTAAACACGAATAAAAGCGGGGGTGCTAGGTATAAATAGTTACACAGACATATAGAAAGTATTAAACAACCACAAATATGTATATACGTATACGAGTATCCATGTTTACATACCTATATATACATATACATACTCATATACATAGTACAATAACATATAAATACATAATTATAGTACAAGTGGGTATACCATAAAAAGTCGATTGTCAGTCTGTTGCCGACCATAAAACGGTGAACGGTTATTTTGCGAGTTTTACTTAAAACTAATTCTTAAATCTACGAATTCTACTAATTCTTAAATCTACGAGAGTCTACGAATTCGCGTGTAAATAGTGTAAGAGTGATAAATACAAATAAAATAAGTAAAATACGTTTAAATACAGAAGTATAAGGACAATGGCAGACATAAGGATCCGTGAGAGTCTCACGTTCGACCACCGGATACAAGAATGGAGCATATTTAAAAGTCGTTTTGTACAATATTGTACTGCAAACACAGACATATATCTAGATAGACGCCGCAAGTGTACGTACTTCGCGTGCCCAGAGTAAGTGAAATTCACTTTGTTGTCGCTGATACACTTCAGAACGCGCTCGACCGTTATCGTAGATACGTAGAACCAGTCGAAAATGCGAGAAATGCATAATTGTGCCATGATAAACTACAAAAGTACCATAACTGTAGGTAAACGGGTAAACGGGTTTCCTTCCACGGGCAAGTGATTCTGTAATCAGAAGATGCATAATTTATTTTAAAAACAATTATTTTGGTTTTGTATGAATTTCGAGAAAACAAATATGCAACCGAGTGTATGTCTCATGTTTGTAATACATTGCGGCTTTTACTTGACGCGATATATTCATGACCTTTTGTTAATACGCCATGAATATCGAACGAATGCACTTTTGTATAATGCATTTAGTTTCGTGGTACGGACGCTTGTACATTTCTTTGGTCAGATTTAACACTTATGTCCACTTGCACTAAACCTAGGTACGTCTTAAACTAATAATTGCAATGCAAAAGACACTCTTAATACATTGTATTAAGAGTGTCTTATCAATTTAAGCATTGGTTTAAAACATACTTAAGTTTAGTGCAAGTGGACATTAGGGTCGTATTCTAGAACTCGACTCAATGCTCAAGTCAGGATTTGAGTATGGTTTAAAGCACTCGAAATCATACCCAAGTGCCTGCCATTAGGGTCGTATTTCCAGTGCTTGTGTTTCCAGTGCAATCCTGACTTGAGCATTGAGTAGAGTTCTAGAATACGACCCTTAGTGACGTATACGTTAGGCAACACTGTTCTCGATTCTGATCGATTTTGAAAACAAAGGGACGTAAATTATTATGACCTTAGCAATATTATAAAAATATTCTATAACTCTTTTGTTATAACGTTTCGTTTATTTTTTCAGTTTCGTAGCGATAATTTTTGCAGCATGTTGCCTCGAATATCCGAATATAGTGAGCAAATAATTACATACATCGCCGGATATGTAGTACAGGGTCAAGACCACGTCAAGCTTTACACTTAAGACTTAAATCCAGTTCTATGTCGCTTATGATAATAACGGTCCAAAGTACAAAGTGTCAGCTTGATATGCTCTTGACTGTACGAGTAATACAAAAAATATATAATGCTAAGAATTAATAGTGTGCTGTCTTTACAAAAACCTGGAGTTGGTCATACGTATGAGTTCGTTGCTTTCAAGGACGAAGGTGGTCTAGTTTATTCCACCTAAGATGCTATCCAAATATGCAGAGTGGCAGAGTTAGAAATCCGAGAAATAATAAACAAATCACAAAAATTTCACACGAGGCCGTCATTAAGTAAACCTCTTCTGATTAATTAGATCTTACCATATTTTGTCAATAGCAACATTTTAATTTGTCTTGCCATTCATCAATTTGATCAATTACCAACAGAAAACCGCCTAGTAAAATTAATTAAGACAGTCGCAAGTTCATATAATGACGTGCGTTTTCATTATTTAAGTTAATCGATAAGATGTTCTGTTACAAAAAGATGTTATATAATAAGCTCATTTTATTGGAAGGACAATAGGTAATTTTAATGTTTGAAATCGATTAAAAATTAAGGTCCTAATTTTTTTTTGGGTGATCAACTTTTTTTAAAACAAGTAAAATAAAGAACATAACTATCTTGATCTAGTCATAGTGGGTACAAAAAATGTGGCACGCTTGGTTTTCATACAAATTGCTGTACTTGCGGCGTCTATCTAGATAT